ATTATCTTATTATGAGCATTCTGTGTAGTGTAAACGAGTTTACGTAATCCATGTTTATATTCTTACTTCTTAGCAATCAAAACGTGAAGGTTATGTCAAGATAAAATGTTGTATTCAATATGGGAATTTTTGAATTTAAAACGTTGCTTCAATTAATATTGTTACTCGATATATTGTTGAAGTCTACTAAATTTAAAGATTGAAACAAAAGCAAAAAAAGTTATAACGTTTAAAAACCATAAGTTAGTAGTCATGAGAATTACTCATTTTGATATGTTATGATTTCAATTATCTCGTTGTTGACACTTTTGATCGATTTCGGCCTCATGTGGGGCTTACTCTGATACAGACGTTGTCAAATTTTTTTTCAAAAGAATGGATAGTATATGGCTTGTAGTGAAATCTAGGACTCTCATTTAATATTATGCGGGTATGTCTAACTGGATGCATCTGTTATCCAGCGTTGATGTTTACATTTGAATTCGAACCCATAACCTTTTGACAGGTACATTTGGCTAACGATTTCCAAATAAGACGAAGCTTGAGTCCTGAATTATACCATTAGCCAGATTCAATCTACTTTCTACAAAAATTAAAAACTGGCACTTCGAATCTACTATTCATATGATGGTTTTACTATCATTTAGTTCATAACTTCATATAATCTGTTTCGACTATGTAGGTTTATAAGCATTCATATTGGTTAACTTTTTTCCACCACAGATTTGTTTTCTCAAGTATTTCAATCGATTGTTAAACTCAACACTCTTTAGTATTCCTAAGTTATGAAACAAGTATTATTACTCGTTAGATCATCACTATTCTCAAATCTATCCACAACCAATTTAGAAAAAATGACGTTGCTAACGTCGAAGTAAAATTTAACATTTATGTATTAAAATGCAATTCTGCAATTGCAAAAATCGTTCACTTGTACAATAGTTGTAAAAACCTTTTTGATATATATGATAATTCTTATGCTAAAGTATTTTTGATGAATTCAGGTTTGAGTAACCTTCTAAAGTCCTTGCTTATGTCTTCAAACAATATCTAACCAATGACGTTTGCATCTAGATTACCATGATGATGATATCATCCAGTTAGTGAGTTTGAATATAACATCCTACGTTCTAAGCTTCATTCAGTTCCCAAGTTATCTCTGTCCTAAATCTTTGCCGTACGGGGAATTTCGGAAGTTTTTGCCTAAACTTGATGTATAATGATCCCTTAGTTATTGATATAAAATCAGGTATCTGACCTGACTATGTAGTAAGTTTATACATATCCATCTGATGTCAGTTGGCTTATTAAGACGCAACTTAATAAAATTATTTCTTTAAGAATAAATTCATCAGCAAATCACCCAAACAGATTTGACTTAAAACTCGATCATATTTTCAACCAATAATTCTCTTAAATCACTTTATATTCGGTTTCTTCATACTCAGAAAAAAACTGGATAACTTTTATTGAAAATAAAAGCACCCTTCTTTTCTGTTAGTCCATATTATAATCATGATTTTATTGTCATCAATCATAGACATCACTTGTCTATTTAAAAAGTGTGATTAAGGATACATTACTCTTATTTCAAACTAGACATCTCTTTACTATGCGTAAAATGTAAATAGTATAAATTCCCACTTTTAATGGACTATTATTATTATACCAATCAATCAATTTGATAACTTTTATTAACCATTCTGTATCACCATCATCATCATTATGACCAGTATTTATGTATTCTAACTACCATACCTATAAGGTGTGAGGATTTATTAATGTATAAGTGTCTGCATTTGTTAATATTCAATGAAATATGGAGGGGATAAACGCTACTATTATAACAATCAAAGTCAAATGAACAAGTTTGAAATTCAACAGTCAATTAAGAACGGAAATACCTTCATCTTTCATTTCCTGTTCATCATACTATTCATACTGAATATACACAGATACACTATTCAAATTATTCATTTATGTGTTTTACTGGACAATAAAAGGGAATAAATAAAGATTTGCCCCTGGAAGTCATTCTACTTTAATGATAATAATAATCATAATCATAAAATAATTCTCTTAACCTCCAGTATATTCAGGGTGGGATCAACAAGAGAGTGGGAAGAAAGAAAAGAAACTACGATTAGCACTGCTAAAATGTCTAGTGTAAATTCTTCATATCATTCTTAGTTATCATGGCAACACAATTATTATTATTATTATTATTATTATTATTATCATTATTATTAACAATAGTTTTGTTACTACCAAGTGAATTTTCATCACCATTATCTTCATTCATTTTCATTATTCACCTTTCTTTTAACATATCAAAATGTGTATTTAATGTCATATCGATATTGTTTTTATTATTAATTGTTTTTGTATGATTAGTGTTATTGATAAATGACTCATAATTGGTACTAGTTACAATAGTAGATTATGCCTCAATTGGTTAGATTGAAAAAAAAACAAATAATTGACATTGAACAAATCCACTCAATTAGATCATCACGATTGATCATTTAGACAGAAATAAACAATAAATGATATAGTAACTAATATCATAACAAATGAAAATTAGTTAAATAAATTGCAACATTAACCTATTGTTTGATTATTAATCAATCTCTTCATTACTGAATGACGAATTATAGAACATCTGAAAGCTAAGCAAAACATTGAAACATATAACTTTTTAATCGAATTCATGAACTGTTCAATGTTAGACCACCAGTGAAAACCTGGAAGCACTAGACGACCGTCTCGTTCTGATAAGAGACTCAACAGCAGTTCACATCCACGATCCCATACGCGGGACTCAAACACCTAACTTTATTAAAATACCCAATAATCTCAATTAAGTACTAAGTAATACAATTCGAAATCATATAAGTATATTCAAGTATTTAAAGAAAATATTAATGAAAAGCTGATCACTTGGAAAACTGAACTAGTTATAACTACATCTAAGTGAATAATTTTCACAAGATAAAATCGTCATATTCTCGTAAACCTTCTTACTACATTGTTAATATATACCCTAAAAATCTATAATAGGATTGACTCTTCTCTTTAAATGAGTCGTCATTCAATATCGTACTAGTGAATGCTTACAACCAAATGCTGATGTGAAAAAAACTATGATTTCCAGATGATTTATACAATATTCAAATAAAAAAGAGATATGATATAGACAGTGTTTGACACTCGTATGTATCATCAAATCAGCTATGACTACAGACATAACAGAACTATTCATTTAACTAAATTTATGCCAACAACAGCGAGATTATAATTTACGGACCGACCAATCGGAAATAAGATAACTACTTTTGGGTTTTGGCGTGAAATTCATTCATCCATTAAGCTAAATAGCTATTTGACATTTTACCTTATGTCAATTCGTGATGAAAACCCAAATTCTAATTCCTTACCCCAACCATCAACTATAAATCATAATCCTCAATTATTCACACAAGTTTATAACCATCATTTAGTCCTAAGAAGCAGGTGGGTATTCTCAAGGTCACTTCAGCGTCACTCATAGGTCGCCTATAATTAATAGTCTCATCCCATCAAAAGGATATTTAAGTCTAAAATTAAAAAAAAATAGGCTATTTAATTAAATATTAAACGAGGATCAGTTATTACTATAATTGTGTAATAACTATTGAATAAATAAAATGTATTTGACAAGATGGTAATATCAAAATTGAACAACAGGTCAACATTCACTTGTTTATGTGTATTATTTTAGGTGAATGTATAAAAAATAGTTCAGATCATAATTAAATATTAACCGATAACTTTAACGGATCTAATGAGTGATAAAGTTGATATATTTTAAGATAGAAAAAAAGAACAACAATTAAAACATTTCTTTAACTGAAGTAAAGAAACTTTTTTTTACATCCACTTGTTTGAGTGATGTCTATTTTCACTAATGTAAATATTTTGTATACATAGTTCCCATTATTATCTTAAAGAGAACAAGAATAAAGATTGGTGAAATGGCCTCATAAATTTTGATCATAATTTAAGTAATTATCTATGTAAACAATTATTAATCAAATATTCATTTAATATGGGTATCAGAAGGGGTTTTGTGGAGATTGTAGTAATTTCAACAGTTGAAAAGATGAGTAGGTTGGTGCTAGACCACTATGGAAAACCTGGAAGCATTGGATGGCCGTTTCGTTCTATTACATCCTGGAGTTCTAGTGAGAAGCAGTGATCAGTGGAGTTCAACAGGGTCAGTTGTGAGGTAGTAACTCACCAATGATGATGGTGGATGTGTCGCTCAATTTCGTGGATTAGTTGAAGTTAGACATTAACACGATTGGTTGCCAGATCAGTGATCTAGTGGTTAGACGCACGTGGTCGAGACTGATAAGTCTTCGGTTCGAACCCCACATAGCGGGGTCGTGGATGTGCACTGCTGGGGAGTTCCACAATAGGACGAAACAGCTGTGCTTCCAGGTTTTTATGGTGGTCTGGCTTTATTTGACTCATGATTTCAACTAGTGAAATTTTTAAAATCTCCACAAAACACCTTCTGCTAATAATATTATCATTGATAACATTTAATAGGTTTGAATTTAATGCCTAGATATTTCGTTTAATTTATCAACTTTTAATCTGTAATTTATAATGACAACTTATACTAATAGGAATATCAGTTGTTGGATTCTTTCTAATCTTCTCATTCATCATGTGTCCTTCCTTTAGTTTATTGAAAAGTACTTAATAGTAATATTCAATAACACCTAATAAACAATAAAAAACTAAGATCACTGGATGATTGTTTGTATTTTCTTATATTCTATATATTTTTACATTCAATGATTGTAAAGTAAGCTGTAAGTGTTTTTTATATTACGTAATAAATTCATTTTCTATTTAACCTAATTTAAAATAGTACAACTATACAGATCTATCAAATTTTATATTCAATAATAGAACAAATATATAGTTTATACAAATTCTTTTTTTTTAAAGTTTAATCAAATATAGTTAAAAATGTTTTATATTATTTTGTAATTTTTAAATGATTCTTCAATAAATAACCAATTACTTCTAACGATAATTATGATTAGTTTAAATGAATACCCCATCATCAACAAAAGTAGAACAGGAAAAACTTCATATTTCTGTTCTTTTTGTTGTTTTTTTGTTTGTTTGTTTTCGTTGTTTATTTTTCAAAGAAGTAAAAATTTTTTTTACAAATTGATATGATTTGTTTTAATTTACTTCATAGAATAACAGTATTCACATTAGTGAATGTATTAATACAATTAGAAAGTAATGAACATTATAAAAATCAATCCTTTGGTTAATATTTATGATAAAATTATATCTTAAGTAAATAAATGAATTCTTTTTTGTGTATAAGGATAAAAGTACATAATACTTGCATAATTGACCATTATTATATATCAATTTAAAATATGCATAAATGTATATTTAAGACGAATAGACCATAGTAACAAGATAAATAAAAATGAATCGTGGTTCTTTTTTCTTTTTAAAGACAAGAAATTAGTTAAACAAGTAATTTATTGCAAAATTATTTATTTATTTTTTTGAAATGTTTATCTACAAGAATGTTGTAAATAATTTAAATTTTGATTTACTGAATTTAATAGATGTTGTGATGAATGTAAAATAGACGATTGTTTTCGTTCTATTCCAGTATTTGTATTTAAATTTTCATGTATTTGTTTAAATGAATTCCATGTGTATTTTGTATAATCATTTATTTTGGATTTTTCTGATAAATCATTGATTCTTTGATTTCCTAAAGGATTATTTGATCTTGAATTATCAAGATATTGTTGACATTCTTTCGAAGGACTAAATTGTTTATTATCTGTAATAGAATAAGAATTTTGTATTGGAAACGTATTGATACTAATTCTTTTAGAGGATTCAGAATTTGAAAATTTTGAATGTGTTTCATCCTCAAATTCCAAATTATTTTGATTTTGATGAATAGATTCAATCATAACATTATCTTTTCCTTCATCTTTTTTAACTAATTTATCATTAACATCCTCCTCCTCCTCATCGTCATCATCATCATCGTCATCACCATCATCATCACTATCTTCATCGATATCTGATAATGACTTTTGGCCTTTGGAATTTGAATCGCTTAGAATTTCTTTACCATCTGTATGCAAACGTTTGTATTTTGTTCGACGATTCTGAAACCATACTTTTACCTGTTGAAAAATATAGTAATATATTGCATTTTACTAAAGAAAATAAGCAGGAGATTAAACTTGTTTGTTAATAAATATTTCGATATACTGATAAAAACACATTGAAATATAACTCATATACTAATAAAACATATTCCGTGTTACGATTCTGACAACTACCAGAATTGAAAATCATCTTATACTTCAGTTTTAATGAAGTCAATGGTAAAAATGAGATTATTTCATTGTTTCCAATAGGATATTATAATCATTATTGCTTAGCCTTAAAAATGACTCAAGGAACTACTCTGGTTTCGATCTTAAAGTAAACTTAAATAGTTGCGGTGTGCCCAGGATTATTTTCTAGTGAATATCACTAAAAAATACATTTACTGGAATCGTGAATTGATCTAAGTTAAATAACTATTGGAAACCTGAAAGTAGTCCGACTTATATTGGTTCATGATTTCAATGAAATTCAACAACCACCACAACTTCGCACTGAGAATACATTTATTCTTGATAATGAGTAGTTCAATTTACTTCACGAAAAATTATTTTCTATCTTATTTCAATTGTTCTGCAATTTAATTAATAAATCTTCAAAATAAATTACCATATTGTAATATAGTAATCACCGTGTGCCTTCGTTACATAAGATTATCGTGACTAAACATGATCTTAATATTAGGCTGGAATCAGTGAACAAAATTAAATTAAATATAAACAAACTTAACATATAAATCGTCCATTAATGAACTCTCTTTACAGTATACCACGAATAACGGTTTATTCAACAGAATCCGACTTCAGTAATAGGAATATGATAATTAGATTCGTATATAGTGCTTTATACAATAGTTCATACAAGACTACATTAGATTTAGAATACAACGCGGTTTTTATTTGTTATCATCACTAAGTCACTATTTTACTTCCAACTTTACTTACTTAACAAATAGTGGCTTCTCGCCCCCAAATGCCTTGGTACGACAGAGAGTGGGGAGAGGCAGCTCTGCCTCTTGAAATGCTCTCACATGTCCACATGTATACAACTACTGCCAGGAAAGTCTTACTCACTACCTTCTCAAGGCTGAGGTGTTTTTTACGAAACTGAGAGGACGAAAAGCGAATATCCGGCGCTTTAACAGGGTTGGTGGATACGGAGGATGAACCTAGGGGAGTTAGAAAACTCTGATTCCAAACCAATCGTGCATATGGGCTCCAGGATTGTGAGAAATCAAATAGCATATGGACAAATTATTGCTCACTGGCTACCATGGGACTGCATATCCTGACTGCATTCCACTGCCTTGTGGGTTAGACCTTTAGGTCAAAGGCTTCGGGTGTGGCACCTTAAGAAAAGCACCCGCTACGGTCTCGGCACTCAGGTAGTATCACAGCCCACACACACATAAAATGAAGTGATGAAAGTTACTGAAAATACTATTCTCGCCTATTTGTGTGGTGCATATCTATCTGGTGCTGGTGAGCGGCCTATGCTCCTTCCCGAGGAGTAACAGGCGTAAGTAAGTAAGTAAGTATATGTATCTGGTTCTCCTTTGTACCAATATTTATATGTTCAAGTAAATAAATGAAAATCTCGCGGAATCGATCCATCTTGAAGTTACTCACCTTTGAGTGTGATAAAAACTAGCTTTGAAATAAAAAGTCTACAAACTCATATAAATGAGCATGAGTTAGTCAAAAAAGAGTGAAACAGAGTATTGAAAAAATACAGAAAAGCTTAATTATTGTTAAAAATTTCTGATTCAACCAAGTGAATTAGCTACATGCTTAAATAATACGAAAAGAGGTCACAACCTGGTATCATCAATGAGATTACTTTCATCAGTTATGAAATTAAGGTTCAGTTAACTCTACGGGTACAGTTAAAGGACTTTCAGATTACATAAATGATATCTCAACTCTTCCTATTTATGTATGTAATCTCTATTTGAGAAGCTAGTACTGAGTTCAGAAATGAGCATTATTCAAATCAGTGTCGATTAAAATATAATTACAGAGTTAAATTTCTGAGATTATTTTTAACTACAAGTCAGCATTATGAATGGATTGATGTTAGCCCACCATTGAAAACCTGGAAGCACTGGATAGTCGTTTCGTCCTAGTATTAGACTCACAAGAAGTGATCATCCACGATCTCGCATGCCGAATTCGAATCCAAGACCTTCAGTCGCGCATACGAACGCTTAACCCTTAAACCACTGAACCGGTATCCGTTTGTGTTAATGTCTAACTTCAACCAATCAACAAGATTTCATGACCGTCTTCCATTGTCCCATACCAGGGTGAAATGGACATTCAGTGTTTTCAAGTTTTCAATTGTGGTCTAGCGTTAATCCATTCATGATCTCATTCAAATCTCAACAATCTCTACAACTCTATACTGATGAAATCAATATTATTAGACAGAGGCATTATGTTAAAGAGTACAGAACTATAATATATTTTGTTACAAAATTTGAAAAAAAAGTAGTACACATTGGTCTTTATTTGGTCAATTAACTAACCTACTAAATGATTTAATTTGAAAATTAAAATCAGTATCAATAAGTTATAGTGTGGTGCATATTACTGATGTCGATAGATATTAGTAGTATGTATCATCAATCAGAAATGAAATACCTGACTGCAGAAGGTTAAGAAAATTGAAGAAAAAAGAACGAGTATAGAAATGAAGGGACAATGAAGTTTGAGGTAATTAATTGACATTTTTCAAATTCAATATTTACTATATGGTTCTCAGATTTTACTAAGATATTCTGTAATTTTGTGTTCAAATACATTCGATTGTTTCCACTTATGTTGTCATTCATTACAATAGAGCTTATTAACTAATAGTGTTAAACTAAATTTATAAATAACACAGGAATTGATAATTTAATTAAAACTATTCTGAATTAGTTTATTATATTATCTAACAGTAACTTAATAGAACTTTAAAATATATTTAAATTTAGCACAAAAAAGGATAATTATGTAATAAGTATTACTGTCTAAAATGAAATTAACTTACAAACCTATTAGAATCTATTTTGTTAAAATAACTCTGATTAGAAAAGAGAACAAAAACAAATTTGGGAGTATTTTTTTTCTGAAAATAAAGAAAATAAAATAAAATTTCAAGGTGTAAAGTGTTGTATTCCGATTTATTAGCTCATTAATATCTTACTCATTACAAGCTATGCCAAAATATCCTCTGCTCAGTTCATGACAACAGCTATATTTGTATGAAATTTTAAATTAAGATTAAACAAACATTTTCAATAATCATTAAGATGATCCTATTCAATGGTTACAATTAGCTTTATAATAAATAAATAGATAAATAATAAAATGTAAAATAATATTCTAAAAGATTTATGAAATTGAAAGTTAGAATTACCTAATTCCAAGATCATCTTGTATCATAATTTTATTTTATAAAGATTAAAATGAGTTCTTTTGTGTGTGTTCATTTAAACAAAATTAAAAATATGCAAAGATGGATAGTTGCTGGCACTGGAATCCTGGACGCACGTTCCGTCCTATTTGGAACTCGTCAACTGGATGTACCTTTATCCCAGAGTTGATGTTCACCCCAGGATTCAAACCGAGTATCGTTCGCTTTAAACACCATCACGTTATTCACTTAGCTACTGAGTCTTGATAGTCACCTGCATGTGCAATAAGGTGAAGTTTAAATTCACTTGGACGAAACGTGCGTTCTAGATTTCACTGCTAACCACTATCCATCTTGCTTACAAAGTTTGTAACTCAAGACTATATCGAGGCTATTCACATAAGATGCACATATGCCAACATGAGACTGATCAGTTGCAGTCCTAAACATCAATGGGAAAATACAAGTAAAACAACACCAAGTGAATTTCGAATTAAAAATAGTTTACTTTATGTATATTTTACATTGAATGTAAATCTTTAAGCAATAAATAATCATTAAACTTATGATTTGTTTTTTTCTCTTCATATTTTCTTCTCTAAATTATTTTTATCATTATCAAATGATTTTTGGATATTAATCCATTCATTTATTTTTAAATTATAAAGTTGACCATTAAGATAAAACTTTCGTTAGCTTGTTCCTCTAATCATTTAAATAAATAAATAAAAGATATCTGTTTACTTATTTGTTTTAATAAATCACAAATGAATTAGAAATTACTATCAGCATATATACTGTGATTATATACAAATATTTTGCATATCGTGTCCTGTACCTATCAAATTTCATCAACCCTAAAATTGTCAACATTCGCAACCATTCCTACCAACCTATTTCTTCATACAAGGTTTATTAGGTTTTTCCAACGATTTATATATATATATATATATATATATATATATATATATATATATATATATATCATTGAGTACTACTGAAAAGAACATAATCAAGTGTATAATGATTATTACTTTTCATAAGAAACAAGTTAAATTTACTACTATTTTGCGTGTACATAAACTTTATCATTATTATTAGCATTTTTTTCTATAAAGAAATATTTATATTATGCATTACTTTATTATCAAGATGTTTAATTAATTAGAAATGGTCATTCAGTTAGTTAGTTAGTCAGTGAATGAAAGTTGTATTTTTCAGATATTTTGGCATACATATACAGTTTTATAAATATATATATATATATATATATATATATATATATATATATATATATATATATGTACTATCTTTTGTTGAAAGGCTGTATTTGAATATAACAACTCCACCTCCTTTAATAAAGTTTATTTACATTTTATCTATTAATGTAAAACAACTTTATTTGTACAATTTTGAAGAAATCAGTCACGCGACTGATTACAAATTATATTCACTCTATATATTTTTTTCTCAATATCTTTATTTCTATTCGCCTTTCTCCATGTCTGTAAAGTGTTATCAAGTTGACAATCGAATTAAAAATAAATATAATTTTATTCTTAATGTTATTTTTAGAATTAAACTCTTTTCCTATTCATTCATCCCCTCTTGTCTATATTACATTTATATTAAAGTAAATTGTCCCCTATATAAATAATAATAAGAAATAAGACGAAAAATTATTCGAAGTTTAGAGTAAGACACTAATCTTATTAGTTAGAGTAATGTATATAGATGTATATATTTCTGAATAAATTTTATCATCAAAATATATCTTGACATTTTGATTTTAAGTAGCCCATCTGTTTTTTGTAATAGAATAGATAATATAATACTTTATAATGATTTTCCATTAGTGATTTTGTTTTCCAATATATACTAATGATAAACTTTAAACAATAAACATCAGATCAAATTTAAGATCAATTTGATTTATTCTTTTTTTTTAGTAAATAAATAAATAAAATGGTCCATTAATGATCGGAATTTATAAATTTATTAGTCATTAAGATCATTTTATTTTAGTTCTACTCCATACATGAATACCATTCTAATAATTTAATAGAAAGTATGTTAGCAAAATGCTTATATCTTGCGCCAAAACGCATTTTCCCTTGATATTATTAAACTTTGATCCGATTATATTGCGATTGTAAATATAATAATAATAATATTAATATTAATATTAATATATCACCTTGGTTAGTTTAAAAGTGGTGTTATACTCATGATATTTATTGTTTCAATGAAAATGATTAGTTTCTTGTTAATTCTTCTTGTTCCATGTAATTATTTAATACAGAAACAATTTTCGAGAAGTTTTACGCTTGTCTTCACTTTTCTTCTAATGTATTAGCTGGATATCAATTAAAGTTACGAAACTTACTAAAATCTTCACAAAACCCCTTCTGATAATAATCATCTGCTCACCAGCGACTGACTTCAAGAGATACTACTGGAGTTCTAGTGATAAGTATTGACCAGTGGAGTTCAACCAGGTCTGTTGTGAGATATTAGCTCACTGAAGACAATGTTAGACGTGTCACTCAATTTCGTGGATTAGTTGAAGTTAGACATTAACAACGTTGGATGTCGGCTCAGTGGTCTAGTTGGTTAAGCGCCTGGCGCGAGACTGATAGGTCATGGGTCCGAATCTCGCGGGGGGCTGGATCGTGGATGCGCACTGCTGAGCCCCATACTAGGACGAAACGGTCGTCCATTGTTTTCAGGTTTTTCATGGTGGTCTAGCTTCAATTGACTCATGGTTTCAACTATTGTAATATTTAAGTAACTATTAATCTCATAATAATAAATTGTATTTTGAACATGGTATTTTTGTTAATCAGTTACTTAATTTTAATCATAATCTTTGACACAATTTATATACACTTTGTATAACAACGTAGAAAGATAATACATTTTCGAAAAATCATATCTCATGCTGATTAATACTGATACACAATAGTTTTATGAAATAGTATCACTTATAACTGAACAAATACTTCCAGAATAATATTATTGAAGCAGAATCCAAGCATTTCATAAGTTAGCCTTCGATAGAAACTTCGGAGATAAATATTTCAAATGAAACTTCATTAGCACATCAGTTTATTTGCATATTCCTAGATAGTTTTTGTTCAGAAATTTTTTCATTATTTGACAGTAAAATATTTCATGCCTGATTAACTTTTATTTAGTCCTAGTATTTCTTGTAAATCGGTTAAACCGTTTGTATTTAGAATTCGTTGCTCATTTTTCACGGTATTTATTTTTTCTAAGCCGTTGAGTTCTATACCTAGAATTGACATTTTATCTCCGTGGCTAAATAACTTTATTATTAGTCCTCAAAATCACAAATACCAATAGGCTGATTAGTTCAGTTCATTTGCTCTTTATACTATACACGTTAATAACGAACTAAACTTCTCTCTGATTATATAATTAAAATTCGCAAATAAATTCAAATAGATTTTGACTGTAGAAATTCCATCGACAGGTTAATTAACAGGAGGTTAATAACATACATTTTATTATTTGTCAACATCGTCAAGGAACTACACGAGAAACTGCTAGAAAACGTTTGCTTTACAAATAATTAACTGTCATGAAGTTTTTTGTTAAGTTGTTATAATTACGTGTAACTCATAAGCATTACTCCGATAAATACCATCAGAAATATCAAATCACTCAGCCTATACTAGATAGAGTTATCTTTAATTCAACAAGCACTGAAATCCAAACAATACAATGCCAATTAATTTATTTATACAGATTGTACATATGATAACTCAAATTCTTTCATTCCATTTGTGGTTGCACCACAGGTACTCACTTAGTGTTAATAATTATTCTCCTGAAAAATCAAATTCCCAACAATGTAATTTATAAAATCTAACTTATTTACACTATGTAATGTCATTTGCTATTAACTCGTTCTAGAATAAGAATGCTACTATGCTATTAAAAGCTATTGATTTCTAAATTCAATCGTCTCGTTTGTCGCTCAGAAGTTCATTGAAAATTTTCATGTCGTTAGACGGAAATTTCATGTGTTCAGTCACAAAATAATCGGATGTCAAGAACTTCGTTAAGTCATCATGCTAGGACAAAATGTATCCCCATTACTTTAAATAACCTATGCTCTGCTAACTTTAAATACGACTGTGACTGACTAAATTTTAAAAAGCACATCATTGTATTTCCGTTTTTCAGTCTAAATGTTTTGCGCACATCATCAGATCTCAGTGCAGTGTATTGTTATCAGCATATTAGCTGGAAAGTAACAAACGAGATAGAAACTATTTTTTCAGCTGACATCAGTTTCCGAGAGAAAATGCACTCAAAATAAATATAAAAATGTATATATAACCAACGTGATTACTACTTTTTATTTATTTAAAAACGATCATAATCGGTGATACTAGATAATTTTAAGCTTGTCTTCAGAATTTTGCGAAGCATTTGAACCTCATCGATTACTATCATAGATCAGTACTCAAAAATTCCTTAGTAACTCTACTTTAGTGGTAATTATCTAGTGAATTCACATTAAAAATGGAATAATTCACAAATGTGTATCCTATTCTTTTACAAGCAATTCAAAAATCCACAAAGTTCAATATACTGGTTATAACTAAGACAGTAATTGAAGTGGTTAACAAATTATTAGATATTGTCAACTGAAAAAACACTCACTTGAGTTTCAGTTAGATTTAAATCAGTAGCTAAATCTTTACGTTCTTGCCCGACAACATAATGATTTTTTTCAAATGCACTTTCTAATTGAAATAGTTGGGCTGGTGAAAAAGCTGTACGTATTCTTTTTGGTTTCCTACTATCGGATGTAATCAAAACGTTACGACCCATTGAATTCTTAATAAAATTATCTAGATAATGAAAAAGAAAGGGTACACAACATGCATTTTGAATAATAATTATTAAGATTTGTATGTAATAAAGCAATGTTAACTGACGTTATCTGAAATGAATGTTCCCTTTTTTGTCCATATATATACAAACAGTAAATGAGCTTGTACATGTTTTCGTAGTTTTATTTTTGACATAAGGTGGTAAACTCATTTTATCATAAACCAACGTAGTTACTTGCAAAATCATATAGAGATCGTTCAGTTCTATCGAAATAAAGGAAATAGCTATTTTTCTAAGATCATAGAGATTTGCATTCTTCAGAGGAAGTTATATGTATATTAGTCAAGATTGAATTTAATTGCAAAACGTAAAGTAGAACGCTTGATCATCGTGTGGAGCACCATGTTATTCCTTTATTGAGGAGAAGTCCATTGAACTGAGCTTTTAACTTCATTCTATTTGTGATCAAATATATTTTTTGTCTAGTATTATCTATGTGTTACTGCTTTATTTACGTATTCCATCTCAAAGATCATGTCTCCCACTTTAGTGAGTTTCAATATTATTGTAATAAATAATATGTCAGCTTCCTTGACTCTGTTACAATAACACTAAATATCAGTCATACATTCATCAATTTATCATGGGTTGAGCTGTTACAAAAAGCCGGGCGCTGTTTGGTTTATCAAAGTCAAATAATGAAAGTATCAACATACGAAAAAGTGTTTTTACTGCTATATTCCATTACTATTTAGAAACAATATTTCTAAAGTATTTTGTAGATTTTATTGTCTTATTGTTTATTTCATAATATACATCTCACCATCACCCACTTCTTTACGTGGCATTTATTCCTTAGTACCGAGAAGTAGACATACGTATCGATAAATTCCATTTTTTTGAATAAGAAAACTCAGTATCATGCTTTGACAAGTTTTTATTTTACTATTACTGATGATTCTCACACTTTGTACACATCCTTTATCATGAAAGTATTATATTTAAAATGAAATAAACTTTCACTATGAACATATCATGACCTTTATTGTCAATCAGTAAAAAAGTTATGAAAATGAATATTATCATCATAAAATTTCTGATAACTATGGTTTTCATTAGAATTATTATTGTTTAATGAATGTTAATTTCAACTTCCTATTATTCTTCTATTTAATGATGTCTCGCCCGCAAGCGATTAATAACTAGACCACTGAGCCGGCATCCAGCGGTTTTAATGTCTAAATTCAACTAATCCACGAAATTGAGTGACACATCCACCATTGTCTCCAGTGACTTACTATCTCACAACAGACTCCCTTAAACTCCACTGGTCAATACTTCTTACTAGAACTCCAGGAAATACCTCTTGAAGCCAGTCACTGGTGAGCATATGTTGATTAGTGTCAGATGAGATTTTGTGTATATTATAATAATTTTAATAGTTCAGATTATGAGTCAATCGAAACTAGACCACCATAGAAAACCTGAAAACACTGCACGGCCGTTTTATTCTAGTATGGGACCTCTCAGTAGTGTGCATCCACCATCCTGCCTCTCGAGATTCGAACCCAAGACCTAACGGTCCCGCGCGCGAACCCTCAACGACTAAACCCTTGAACCGGCATTCGACTTTATTTTAAAAATTAATTTTATAATTTTTCTTTAAAAATTTGTCTTCTAGATATTGAACATTGAAGATTGAATGATTTAAAATTGAAATACAAATATTTATGCATAGGTCAAAGATGAATACAATAATTTTTATCTACTGTCATTATAATATATAAGTAAAATAGAGACTATAAAAGAAAAAAATAATAATGATAAAGAAGAAGTAGAGGATTTATAGTATGATATAAATGTATCTGATGATCTAATTTATTTATTCTGATTAATTATATTTTATAACGAGTTAAGTTAGTTGTTTTAAATTATAAAAAGATAATACTCGATAGCATAAATTGATAAAAGAAATTTTTTAAAAAGAAAAGAAAGGAAAAGAAAAACTACATTAGTTCAGTTGAATTAATATGCCATATGGTTGTAACAAATTATTATTTAAGAAAATTGTCAAGAAATCACATATCTAACTTATGTACAACAAACAAAACTGATAAAAATGTTTGTTATCATTATTATTGTTAGTAGTATTAGTAGTAGTAGTATCAATGTCACGTATTATGTTTAACCTTTAGTTAAATTGAACTTATTTAAAAATTTATCTTTAGTTGTAGAAAGGGCATCGTTATATCTATTTTATAAAATAATAATGAAGAAGAAAATGATGATAATGATGAACTTTATGTATATTTTGAAATGATTAATGTTTTTCTGGAATGTTTAAAATTCTCTATAGTGTCAAGTCTAAATGACTTATAAAATAATAAACTTCATCATCCTCCCTCAGTTGTCTTTCTCTCAATCTCTCTCTCCCTTAGACATACACATACATATAGTGTTTGTTAAAACTCACTTTACCAGAATTATAAGATGAATATCAAAATTTCAATTCATTCGCTTGTCGTGTTACTTGAAGAGTATTAGATATGAATAATCACAAAGTGGTGAAAACATTTAATATATATGTAAACCCAATTAAAAAGAATAAATATAATTTTCTGGTCAGCTCTTTACCCTAATATACTATTTATATACGTTCGGTGAGCGTGTACGGCAGTTCATGTTGTCGATTACTATTTTAGTAGGTTAATGTAAATCCTATTCATTTCGTCCAGTCTATTCGTCTATGAATTGATATTAAATGTGTAATTTGATCTATTAAAGAAAAATATATTATTATAAAGAAAAAACACGTCGAAATAGAGAATTAGTCAGTAAAACTGATCTAATACTATTTATGATTTATACTACCTACTATTATGGCGTGGTGCATGTGAAAAAAAATCATATTCGTTCATTTATTTCATAGATAACATGATGTGGAAGCTAAGGACAACTTCTTATATATATTAAGATGTAAACAAGGACAAAATAAATTTCTTCATATGAATGTGCACATACATATTTATAGATAGGTAGCAACGAAACAACGATAGTAAATGATTTCAACACACTAAGTAAATATAAATTATTATATTTCACCGTACTTAGATCATCAGTCAAACCCATACACATGTATGCTTAATTAAATATAAGTGATATTATGATACCAAATTTGAGACTAGGTCAATTTAAGAAAGACAAAAATTACATGGACTGAAAATTTCCCTGACAAAAATATTAACAACTGCAACCTAACTGATAGAAGAAACCAATAATTTAGTCGGTTTTTCTTAAAAAAATAGTAAACCACAACCGAAAGTTAAAACTTACTAAAATAAGACCTGAGGCCAGTAAAATTCTGCCTATTAACAAATCAAAATAATTCTAAAATCCAGGAAAAAAAAAGTTCACATTTAAACAAATTTTTTCCAGTCACACATTTACGTACAGTTTTGAAGACAGATATCTTCTATTCAAAAATATGACTAAACAGCCTGATACTAATAGCACGAGTTATATTCGTTAAAATTTAATTATAATTGAAATAAGATTATGTAATATCTTAAATATTTATTCATTAAATAAACGATAATGAAATTGATAAAACATACAAATAATTCATCAGTTTATGAAATGTTTACCAAATCTAATACACCTATTAAGTGTTATCTTTGAATTGCAGAAATCTGTACAATCTTCACAAAGTTTCAAAATAATAAAAAAAGTATATTTGATGTGTACCCGTATAAAACTGTTTAAGATTAAAAAAGTAATAATGATACATTAAAAGAAAGACAATTGATAAACAGTCATTAGTAATCCGGATAAAAAATCAAACAAAAGTAAGTAGACTTTTCAGTAATAAATAAATAAATCCACAGTTTGTCAATATCTAAAATTTTCTGTTTAATAAATAAAAAGATGAAGGGTTTTCAAATCCCACAGTCAATATTATGGATCGATTAAAGTTAGACATTAACACTGTTAAATGTCGACCAACTCAATGGTTGAGAGGTTACGCATTCGCCCTCGAGACTGAGGATTTTAGGTTCGAGTTTTGTCAGCGGGATTATGGGTGGGCGCTGCTGAAAAGTCCCAAACTCGGACGAAACGGCCGTCCAGTGCTTCCAGGTTGTTCATAGTGGTCTAGTTTTAATTAACTATAATATTATTTTAAACTCCAAATACTTCTACCCTGTCTTTTACACCAATTGAACCACACAATGAAAACTGTACAGTTTTTTATTCGGTTTAAATTCATGAGAAAATACTCATTGTTAAGTAATTTTGATTGAGACCATGAATTAATCAATGTTAGGCCAGCATTGGAAACCCAGAACCTTCGGTCTCGCATGAAAACGCCTAACCCTTGGATCACTGAACCGGCATCTAACGATGTTAATGTTTAATTCCAAGCAATCCACGATATTAAAGAATTCTAACTTATTAGAAACTATAACTGATTTCATTACCTTATCTTCATTGATTTTTTCTGATTGATATATTTTTCAAAGTCTAATACACAAATAAATCAGCATTATTATCAATGGTCAAATTAAATTGTCAGTGTCTTAATTTTATCAAGATATCTGTGATTCTTGCCTATACCGACATATACTATGTAATCATTTAAGACACAAAACTTCTCTATATACAAAACTTAAAAGATTGTTTAAAAGAAATGACATACAGTTACTGAGACAAGTTCAAACACAACATAACAACAATAAGGTCAATAGAATACAATGGATTTATTACATTTCAATGGTTTCCACTCATTTACATAGTAGTTATGATGTTAGGCAATAACTATTTAATAATTATTTTTTTTCCCAAGAAATTTATAAATTAATAAAAGAGATGTTTTCATTTTTATTGATTGAATAAAATGAAATGACATTAGAATTTTGTATTTACATTGATCAGGTAGTTGAAGTTAAGAAAAGTTTCCTCTAAGTTATACTTACAATTTATTCATAATGAAAATAATAAATGGAATGAATGAATTCTTGTA